CTATTAAAATATTTTAAATGCCATATTCTGTAGGTCTTTAAAGTGTTTAAAGACCATCTATCTATCTAAATATATCTGCTTAAACTTGAAAACATATCTAATATTACAAGTTTAACTATTATAGATGACCATTAATCTGCATTTCTTAATTATACATTACATTTTAAAATGAGTTGCATAAGCATAACACCCCACACAAGAGTAGAAACAGACATATAGTAAGGTAAAAATAACTTTAACTTTGTAACAATAAACTAAAATCCATAATAGTGTAAAATATTTTAAGATTAGCAGTTGTTTTTTGGATTTAAAAAGATTCAATAATATACCTTTTTATCCTATAATTTTTATATCCCCCTTTTTCTTTTCAGAACAAGATTCCTAAATCTAATCTTTTTTGTTCAGCTTTTTTCCTGACCATTACTAATAGCAACTTAAAATCAACTCCCCTTAAATGATAGCAACCATCCATAATCAATATTTTGGAAATGTGGACATCATTCTGTAGACTATTTCCTGGTGCCTGGGGCCATTGGTATCTTTGGGAGGAACTTGAGAAAATTGGGATAATAATGACATCCTGACTGGAGTAGTCTGTGAGGTTGGGCCATCTCAACCAACAACCATGAAGTTGTTTTGTATGTATAATTTTGAGAAGATGTAACAGAGGCATTCTGAGATTCTATATCACCTGGGCCAATCATTTTCATTGATGTTTAGTTCCCTTATTATGAAAATACATAAACTTTTAGAGGTAATATGCATTATAAGTATGGAATTTGTGGTATACAAGTTAGTTAAAGATAATTTTTTTGTTTTATGTTTGAGCAGGTAAAACATATATTACAAGTCTTATACTGCTTCTAGGTTTATATTTTTTTTATGTTTGTAGTTAGGATTTTAGGGAGTCTTTCCCAATCAAACCTGATCATCTTTAACCTAGAATGAATCCACAGCTTCTCTATTCCTGTGAAAATAAAAGCATACTCTCTTTCTTACAGTTCATATCTTTTGACATCCATTTTGAATTTAAACATTTTTTAAATGTATAGGTTGGTTTACCTCTTTCTCAAAGTAACATATCTTTTGACTTCCATTTTGAAGTTAAGATTTTTTTTTTTTCGAGATAGGGTTTCTCTGTAGCTTTGGAGCCTGTCCTGGCACTAGCTCTTGTAGACCAGGCTTGCCTCAAACTCACAGAGAGATCCACCTGCCTCTGCCTCCCAAGTGCTGGGATTAAAGGCATGCACCACCACCGCCTGGCAATATTTTTCAAATAAATAGGTTGGTTTATTTAGCAGTCTTCATAATCTAGTGTGTCTTAGCAGCTCTTGTTTCTTCACTAGCAATCAGAAAATCTAAAGACAACACAAAAACATGCAGAATCCAGATTCTGTGTATTTTCCATCTTTACTATATTTTTATTATTCTATTTTTAAAAAACTTTCCCAAGCCTATGTGTATTTTTACACATACTGTAACCCATTTAGAGGTGGGTTTTTGGGGGGGGGGTCGGAATCTGTTTTTAATGCATATTTGTAATATTTTACTTACCACATGAGCCTTTAAACTGTTAAGTGACATGGCTAGGACTACTGTCCCTGTTTTGGCAGCCACCTCTGCCCCACTTGGTTTCTTGAGAGCCTAACTTCATGGTCAAAGCACCTAGTGGGTGAATGATTCATATTAATCATTGTGCTAACTTTTCATTCTGACTGTTTTCTTTGCTATTGGAGTGTCATAGTTTGGTGCAATCCCTACTATTTATTTTTGTTCTTTACCCCTTTTGGATTCTTGGCATCTTTGCTGAAGGTTAGCCAAATCTGTATGGTTTACTTCTGAGCTCGCCATTCTTTTCTGTTTGCCCATGTGTTTGATTTTGTGCCAGTGCCGTGGTGTTATACTACAGCTTTGAAATGTAATTTGAAATCAGAAAGTGTAAGTACTTCCAGCTTTCTCCTTACTCAGTTGCTTCGGCTATTTGAAGAGTGTAATGGTTCCATATGAAAATTATATTTAAACATTGCCATTGAAATTCTGAGTAAGCTTCCTTTGACTATGGAATGTTAATTCATATGTCTTTGGATTCAAGTCTTCAAATGTATCAATATTTTATAATTTTCATGTCATTTTTCATCTCTTTAGTTTCTGCATACTTTATTCTTGTTTCAAATATAAGTCGTTTTGCTTTTTAAAGTTCCCTATTTATTTAGGTCATTGTGGTGTCTAAAATGACACAGATTTTTGTATTTTGATTTTGCAACTCCGTTGAACTAATTATTAGTTCCATCTACCAGTTTCTGAATAGATCTTTATAATTCCCTATTTATGTTATCACATCACTTTAGACATAATTCACATCTCACTCTCACATTGGATACCTTTAATTTTTGACTAGGACTTCCAGGAACATGCTGATCATACCAGAGCAGATATTTTACCTCATTCCAGATCTTACAGAATATGTTCTCAGTTTTATCCTCTGGTTACAACATTCTTACACTTTGTGTCTTAAGTGTCTCCAAAAAGCGCTACAGTTTTAAAGGGCTGTTTCCTAGAACTGAACTCTTGGGAACAAGAATTCAGATCTAATGAGATGTGTTAGCTCCTTAGAGGGACTGTGGGATACTTGTCTCTTGCCTTGCCTTTCTTCATCCTGGGCAGGAGGTGAATCAGCTTTGCTCTGTCATCATAAGTTGAGCCAGAAGGGGCAATTTTAAATGGATTTAATTTTAGCTTTTCTTTTTTTAAGGTAAAATACACCAATTTCCATTCAGAATATGGAGTGTATGTGTACATGTTCGTGTGGTTTTGTGCGTGTGTGTCAAGGCCAGAGGTCACCATTCACTAAATATGTTCTCTAGTTACTATCTCTAGTTATTAGCTTTTGAGTGTTTCACTGAACCTAGAGCTCGCTGATTCTGCTGTGTTACTCAGCCAGTGAGCTCCTGGGCTCTTTCTTTTCCTTCAGGAAGGGAGGGAGAGCCACCTCCCCAGCACTGGGATGATAGAGGAGTGCTGCTGTACCCAGATTTCACCTGGGGAAATTGGTCTCAGTCCTGCTCACGTGACAAACACTCTACCAACTGATCTCTCCAGTTACCAGACATGGATCTAAAAAAAAGAGCATTAGTCACATCAACCATTGAAAACACATTGTGCAAACCATTATAATATAGAACCTGCGTTAGGGAACTCAGTGCTCACAAGTTGCAACATTTTGTTAGCCTGTATCCAAACGCATCTCAGAAAGTCATCTGGGAGTGGGAGCAGAGCTGGAGAAATAGAGTGGTGGCTACAATGACAAATGTGCTTAAGTTAGAAGACTATGGAAACATATGCCTACAACGGCCAGCTTACCAGGGCTGTTCCCACATCTGCAGCACTGTCCGTTCCTAGCATCTACCAATGGCTCTCCAAGCTGTGTGTGTGTGTGTGTGTGTGTGTGTGTGTGTTCCTACACACATTTCAGAGAATGCTATTTCTCATCCACAGGACATGGTTTGGAGGATACTCCACACTCTTTCTGTGGCAGCTGAGGAAACAGAACTCAAGAGACTCAGCTAGAAAATAGCAGAGATGAGATGGAATCTCAGACCCGTGCTCTTAGCTGTGATGCTCATTTTGATATAGCACAGGTTGGCAACCTGAGATGCTTTGACATGTTTAAAAGTTCAGTTATGACATAACATAAAGGCATGTCATCTAATGTCATAATTTAGTGTCAAAGTTAAATGGAGTATGAGTCAAAGTTTTTTCTTTTAAGATAAGAAATGTGGAATTAGTAAATGGGGGAGCCAACGAATTCCCCTGTAGTCAACCCCTCAAGCTGCCAGCAGCTTCACCTCTCAGTGCCACTTTACCGCCCCCCCCCTTCACGCTGGTAGATGGCAATCAATTTCTTTACCCTTTCAAAGCATCACTGGCCGTGTGGGTATGTGGGGTGGGAGGAGACACACATTTTATCAGTCCACCGCTAGGTTTATGAGTGTCTACTGAAAGACACTTGCTGAGTTATTTTAATCCCACCATGGTCCCTCTCACGTGTGAATGCTAGTTGCCTGGGTGATGTGATGCCTATGACAATACCAGAGGTAAAATCACAATAAAGTTCTTTTATTTTGTTTATTTGGAGGTTCTACTTGCTTACCAACACAGGATGCTTTATTTATTCTGCAAATAATTCAACACTAAAATATTAGCTACATGTGGAATCATCCGTGGTCTCTTCTAGTAAACTAATCTAGCTGTAGACATCCGGATAACTCAGCTGGTCCGCCAGTGAATGCGTGTGGACATTTTACAAAGAAAGCTAGTTTTTAGGACCTAAGAAATACAATAGCCTCTTATAAAGGGGAAAAAAGTAGATAATATTGATTAAAACAGGTTCAAATTTATGAAATTCATTTTTTGCAGAGAACATCTTTTTGCTCATTATGGATAACAGGGAGCTGATATTAATTACATCTTACCCAGATAAGATAGCCAGCCAAGTAGGCGAAAAGAAAGTTAAAAGGCAATAAAAATGGAAGAACATTCTAGAGAGAATCTACTCTTTAGTTTGACAGGACAGCCTTGTCACAAACTGGAGCTGTAACTTTGTTCCAGGGTTTTGACACTGGAAACAGCACATTCTTCTCTAATAAAGGCGAGACTGTGATAATTTACCATTTGAAGGAATACGCTGGCGTCAAGTCTACCTGCTACTCAGTGGACACCTGTTTTAAAGAAAGGCATACAAATCCAGATCACATTAAACGCTTTCATTGAGAGGTTGACACGGAAACTCATACAGTTTATGGTGGATGGTCTCAGAAGCTTTCCTGTGTGTGAGAAGCAGAACTACAGGCCTTTTTGTATAAGTTCCTGTACATCTTGTCCATGCTGTTCTCAAAGGCGGGTCGGTGAGATTTCCCCTTAAAAGAGGCTGCTCTGTTGGGCCAGTATTCACCATCATCCAAATGGAGAGAACCATGTGGCCGCTGATAGCAGCTATGAGAAAAGATTGTTTTTGAAAAAAAAAAAAGGTTAAAACAACGGTGGAATTAAGTTCCAGGTACTATGGTGAGTTCAAATATTTACTGAGTACTTTATGGATGTGTGATACTCTTAGGACCGTGAGAACTAAAATAGCAAGGCTTTTGCCTTTGAGCACTGACTCTCTACAGGGGAAAGCTAACCTGTTCATGGCAAACTATGAAGAAGAAAAATACCTATGTTAGAGTTTAAAAGGAGCTTGGAGATGAGAGAGGGCTACAGCAAGTAAAAATAGCACAAAACCCAGACATGGTGGAACATACGGTTAATCCTAGAAACTGGGAGGCAGAGGCAGGCAGATCTCTGTGTGTCTGAGGTTAGTCTGGGTTAGCAATGTCTAACATAAGAGATCTTGTCACAAAAACAAAATCAAAACAGCACAGACACCGTGCTATGGTCAGTGTATGAACAAGAGCCTCTAAAGTCAGAACCCTTTGTAAGCTCTTGGGTAATTAACTTTTAGTTTAATCTTCCTTAATTATATTTTCATGTAATTGTTTGTGTAATTCAAGAGAATATAAACAAAGTACATGGTACAGTATTTACTGGGAACAAAGAAGTGTTTGCGATACACTGAGTTAAGTACTTTTTTTATGCTTATCAGCAAGCTCACAGACTTAGAAGTAGGTAGATGTAGAAATTAATAGGTAGTGAAACCAGGCCTAGTGGTTCATGACTGTAATCCCAGTGACTTAGAGATAGAAAATTGGGTCAAGAAACCCACCCCACTTATAAAAATATGTATTTATATATAAGTATTATATTATTTGTATATAATATATGTATGAGTTTAAAGAAAAATTGCATGAATTATTAAAGGAAAATTTCAGTGCCAAGCATCTCCCTACAAGTTACAAAGGCCCCGGAGGCACCGAGAACAACCTAGGCCTTTGCTCTTGGATGCCCACATAACAAGATAGTAAGACTTAGGATATCAGCAAATCTATGTCAGCTGACTAGAGAAGAGAAACCCGTTCTCTGATGGTTCATTTATTGCAGGAGACGGAGATGAATACAGACCTCCGTAACTGGTCAGCACCCAGAACATAAGAGACTGTGGCGTGCTTAGCTCTAAATAGGACATCTATTTCACACTTCTTCCTCAGGTCCTCATGGAGTCCCACCCATAGCTGAAGAGCTACTGGCAGTTTGTGAGTGCTGGAGAGGGGAGTAGGTTGTCTTCAGGGTATGGCCCCAAAGGCTAAAAATGTTGCAGTAGACGCCCCACACCCCTGAACACACAAATTAATCACTTGGTGGATTTAGAAAACAGAGTATATAATGTTGGGAAGAAAAAGTGGTGATGAAGATAGGGAATGGGAGGGAAGGAAGGGAAATGAGAGTGCATTTGTTCAAGATACATTATATGTATGTATGAATTCCCAAAAATTTACAACAGAGGAACAGTAAAAAGTCTGAATTGTAAAATACAGATCTGAGCACAATGAGTCCTAATATAAAGTCTATAGAGAGGTACAAATACGAACATTAGAATCCTAAACACAGTATTGTTTACTTCGAAGGCATTCTGGAATCTCTAATAAATTGTGAAGAGCTGGATTATTTTTTTAATTGCTGTGTATTACTAAATTTCGAATGTAGGTATAGCATTAAAAATTCATAAAGTAAAAATGAGCTTTCTAAACCAATTTCACTTCTCATTTTAACAATATTTTCAGCACTTGTTCACCAATCATTTAATAAATTCCTATTACATGTTACAAAATATTTTATCAGCTAGCTTTAAAGCAGGAATAATGTTGTAGTTTTAAATTTAGCAATATTTCCAAAAACTTATGACTATTTACTTGAATAGAAAGCTCTTTATTGAACTGTGACATTGCTATGCAGAAAAAAGACAATTAGAACAGAGGTAATTAAGTGAACCAATCAGCTTCAAATTCTATTAATGTATAAAGTATAAATTTATACACATGTTTTATTAAAGTCTATAATATACACATAAAGGAGGAATATTTTAGGTAAGTTAGAATGGATTAGGAAACAAAAAGAAATTAATGGTAATTAATTTAGAAAAAGGATGCAAACCATTTGAGGCCTGGAAGGTAGTGTGTGTGTGTGTGTGTGTGTGTGTGTGTGTGTGTGTTGGCAGTTCAAATGAAGGTCAGGCGAGTAGCTAATGACTGGGTTCTCATGAACAGGCTTCAGATAAAATAAACATAATTATATACACACATACACATATAATACATTTATATAAAATGGAGCTCTGAAGATGGATACATTAAGGAAACGATAGTAATTTTAAGGAGCGTGTGGTTTGAATGAGAAGTGTCCACCATACAACACTGAATACTTGGTCTCCAGCTGGTGTGCTGTTTGGGGAGATTTGGATAGTGCAGGCTGACTGGAGGAAGTATGCCAGCCAGGGTGAGCTTTGAAGCGCTGTCTGGCTACATCCAGTCTGCCCTCTCTACAGGTCATGACTTGCTGTGAGAAGGTACCTGCCTCTCAATCCCACTTAACAGGAAGCACATGAATTGGAAATAAAATTAAAACAACACCCTGGTCATTTGACGAGAAGCTTCCAGGGCAAAATGTTCAAAACTATCCTTTAACTAATTCTAAAGGCCTGCCCATCCCATCCTGCTGGTCCAAAGACGTCCATAAATGCTGAGTACTGTAAAAGGACCAAAAATGAGCACAGAGCTTCTTCAGTAGCTGCTCAACTCTCTTATTTAAAGCTTCCAAGGGTTAGCACAACAGTGGATTAACACAGTGTTAATCATTAACACTAATGAACAAGAAAAGGAATCACAGTGGTGAACCTCAAGTCAAGTCAAGAGCAGTGTTTGTCAAAGTGTTGTCTTCACTATCCCTGTATTAGAGCCATCCAGGGCATTTATTAATGCACATTTTGGGTTTCATCTCCATTTAGAAACCACAACCTTTGGAGTTATCAGGTGGAAATCTGTAGAAACAGAAATCAGGTGGAAATTTCGAAGAAACAACACAGGCAATGATTAATTGTTTAAAAAGATCAGACCCTTTCTAGTATCAAACTGATCTCTCATATTGATTTATCCCCCTAAACTGATAGGGTTTCTATTGCTGTGGTAATGACCATAACTGAAACACACTGCAGAGGAAAGGGTTTATTTCATTTTACACTCCCAGCAACAATCCATCAGTGATGGAAGGCAGGGCAGAAACTCAACAGGGAAGGGTCCTGGGGGCAGGAGCTGAATGAAGCAGAGGAGTGCTGCTTACTGGCTTGCTCAGACTTTTTGTTTTTCATACACACCAGGACCATCAGCCCAGGAGCAGCACCTCTCACAAAGAGTATGCTGGGTGCTCCCTCATCGATCACTAATTAAGAAAACATCCCACAGGCTTGCCTACAGGCTAATCTTACAGAGGCATCTTCTCAATTGAGGTTCCCTCCTCTTGGGTAACTCTAGTGTGTAACAAGTTTGCAAAACACTAGTTGGTACAACAATCTAGGGAAGAGACTTTTTAAGAAAGAATAACAAAGAAGAGAAAAGAACTTTGCATAAATTGTGTGCTCTCTGAACCTTTTTCTTTTTTTCACTGTTTCTTTTTCAAATTCATCTATAATAGTCAACCCACTTTCATAAGAGGCCCAAGCTGCCTCCTGATTGGGAGGCAGAGACTCACACTCATGCTAGGCCCCCACATGGCCATAGAGGTTCCAGCCAAGGTGACCATTTTTGTGAAAACTCTGCTAGAAAAAAAAATAAATTCCGCTTCATGGAGCATCTATATAAGTCTCTAAGAACTTTCTTGGTGAAAAACTAACACAGTACTCCATGGTATAGCAGAATGGCTGTAACTACCCATGATTCACAGTCTTTAATTCAAATCTCATGGTCATTAGAATAGAATTTTCAAATGAAATCTGCTAGCATAAGCTTTCAAAAATATTTTATTAATGTCCCTGAAATTTTAGAAGAACAGATTTTTTCTTACATTATTTGAAAAGATTTACTTATCTAATTATGGAAAGTACTTTTAGTTTAGAATAAATGTGTCATAAAACATATTAATTTGCTGGGCAGTCAAATAAATTCTAAACAGGGGGAAACACATCATTGTGAGCTGGCTGTTTATGTGGGGGGGGGTGCACACACATGCACACACACGTGCATGTGTACATAGAGGAGGAAGTCAATATTTGCTGTCTTTCTCAGTTATTCTACACCTTATTTTTTGAGACAGGGTCTCACACAATCTGGAGTTCGCCAATTCAGTCACACTCCCTGGTCAACAAGCCCCAGGGATCCTCTGTCTGCTTCCACAGTGCTGGATAAACAAACACAACTGCACCAATGTTTCTGTTTTCCACCCAGAGCATGGGTGCTGGGACGTGGAAGCTCGGGTCCTCACGCTTGCTCTACAAGCACTTTACTAAGCATCCCCCTACCTTTTATGTGTGTGTGTGTGTGTGTGTGTGTGTGTGCTGTTTTTTGAGATGGGATTTCCTGTGTTACAGTCCTAGCTGTCCTGGGTCCTGGAACTAGCTCTTATAGACCAGGTTGGCCTTGAACTCACAAAGATCCACCAGGCTCTGCCTCTGCCTCTGGAGAGCTGGGGTTAAAGGAATGTGACACCACTGCCTGGTTTGTGTTGGTTTTTTTGTTTTTGTTTTTATTATCAAAAAGCTTCAGTAACAAAAAAAAAAAAGTAACTGGGCTGGAGAGATGACTCAGTGGTTAAGAGTGCTACTCTCTCTCAGAGGACTCAAGTTTAATCAGTTCTCAGCACCAACAGTGGCTCACAGCCTCTGTAACTCCAGCTCCAGGGAGATCCCTTGTCTCCAAGCTCCACAGGCATCTGCACTCACATCCACATATCCATACAGACACACATACCTATAGTTAGAAGAATGAAATTAAGATTAAAATCTAGAAAAAGATAAATGTGTCATTTTTATGTCTATGAGAAAGATCTCCACATACAGAAGCAAGTCCATACCTATATTCAGGGTCACTGTCATAGGCAGAGTCTCTATATAAAAGGCCTCTTTTCAGTTCCAGTTCTTCTTCTTTCTCTGGGTCTCTCTCATCCTGAAAAATGAAAAGATTTCCAGTAACTAATTTTCTCATTGCTTCCAATATAGTAGTTAGGATGCTGTGGAAAAGGTACCTTTTTGTCCTCACTGTAAGAGACTGAATCAAGAGTCGAGTGCTTAGATTCTGAGGACAGAAGCAAACTGTCAAGGATGCATTAGCTCTCAATAACATTTTAAAAACTACTTCTCCTATTTGGGAATTATATCATTTCCCTTTCTCCCTCCCAGGTCTTCCCACATACTCCACCTTGCTCTCTTTCAAATTCATGCCCTTTTTTCATTAATTATTGCTACATGCATATATGTATAGGCATAAATATTCCTAAATATAACCTGCTCAATCTGCATAATATTATTTGCATGTATATTTTCAAAAGAGCACATTATTTTTATTATAATTTGGTTAGTACTGGCTAGCAAAGACTAGACATTCAGTAAATATTTTATGGAAAAGGAATAAATTGTAGTGGATGTATCAAGATATTTAAACTAATAAAGGCATATATATGAACTTCTAAAAAATTATTCTTGCCTTCTGAGAAATAAGCACTAATGCCTTCAAAAATTACACAGATGCAAGCATGCACTCATGACTTACAAAGAAAATGATTTACTGATAATGATAAGCCAAAAAAAACCACAATAAAACCAGAAGTGTGAGTCAATTGATACAAACATACATAGCCAAAGTTCCCATTCTTAACTTCTACTAGATACACACAGGGGAACTGGAACCGGGGTCATCTGAGCTAGTTTTTCAAGCTGCATTGTCTTAGTAAGTTGGCATGTGTTTTCTGTAAGGTCATATTAAGTATTGTCCATCACTGCTCACTCCTTAATCAGCACAAACACAGGTGAAGAGAGTAGGTAACAGAAACACACAGGGAATAGCTTTAATAGAATATGGGCCCATCTACTTCAGGTAAGAAAACATATCAACACAGCCTGTGAAGAAAAAATACTTTTTTTAATTTGCTGATGGTGTGATACTGCAAAGGACACATTCATTGTCAAAGTGTCTGTGAATAATAAAGGAGTTAAAGCATTTTGGAAGATGTACATACAGTTTCAGCTGTCAAGACTGTTGGGCCTTACCATTATGAATAATTCCATGTATTTCTTTTGGCCCTTTCTCTTCTCTTTAAGACTTTTGTTGGTTATTAAAATAGTTTTCTTTTAGTTAATACCAAATGATAAGTATTTAATCATTTATTTTCAAATTTTCCATTGTTTATTTTTCTTGATGGGCATTCAACCAAGTGAGGAAGACTAACAAGTAAAGAAATAGGTGGGAGGGTTGTCTTATGGGGTGTAAGAGCACATCACCGGCACCACTAACACAGAACACTGCCCAATGGGAAATTCTGACCCAAGAAACCAAACAGACTCCATTACCACAGAGGTCTCGTCTGGAATAATCATGCATGTATATCCACACAGCCAGATGGATCTAAAGAAAGCGTGTTCAGAAAGATCATTTACAGCTAGAGCGCCTATGACTGGGATGGGAAGGGAGGTGAGCATAGAAGAGTTACTTAGAATTTCGCTGGGTACGGCCCTTTGCCAGACCTCTAATCCACAAAAATATAAGATGACCAATTTGAGCCAATGAAGTTATGATACTATGTGGTAGCAAGAGAAAGCAAACACAGCAACACAAACTCCTTTGTAAAAACAAGCAGAAATTACTTTGAGGCTGGATGGGATAATTTATTGTAAACTAGGAAAGCTGACAAAATAAATACTTTTTTACAGTATTAAGAGCAAACCTAATAAAGACTACAGATGTTCAGCTATCAGAGAGGCAATCCTTTTGAAAATGGACTCCGAGTATACCTCTATTTTTTGTTAAGCATTGGAAGACTGGTGCATGGACTACAGGCTGCAAACCATAGCTAACGATTGAAGGAAGGTCAGGGCTAGGCACAGAGAAACCATAGAGGCTTTTCATGACTGTGCAAGAGTACAAGATAAATTTACATTCTGTAACATCTTATAAATCCAACCATTTCCCAAACCATGCCATATATTGACTCACAAAGTTTCCTGGGACATCAGGGATTAATCTTAGCTGAAACATCTGGAATCCAGAGGGCAGTTTCCCACAGTCTAAAAGTGTTTAGAGACAGGGATCATCTACCAGGTCAAGGGCACCACAGACGCCAGAAACACATCCCTGGAAGTACTGCTGACACTCAGTGCCCCCACTGAAGCTGTTTATAGACTTCAGACACTGGTTGGCTAAGATAAAAATCCAGCCCTGGCTAAGGAAACAGACACTAATTTCTACAGATGGGAAAAATAAGCAGAATGTTTTATGTATCCCACAAGCATCAAGAATTAAAATGGAAGCCTATAAAGTCCTCACACATACAATGTGAATGTATTTGCTGACTTCTGAAGCTGGGCAGGCTGGTGACAAATGGGCTAACCCCAACATGTCTGAAGAGCAAAGAGACCCTGCCCTACAATCATGGTACCGAAAAAGAAACATTCACCAGAGAGATTGATAGAAAGCAGATGGGAACTGGTGATCATGTGCCCACAGACACCTGAGTTCTGAGAGCAGCCAGAATGGCCTCAGTCAGAGTAGCTGCAGAATAGAGAAGATGGAAAGTACTGAAGTAGCCATGCAAACGGTGTCACAATAAACACAGCCAGGGGGACTCAAATATAGTCATGTGTCACTTAGCATTATCTTGAGAAATGCATTGTTATAGTGTGTATACTTAAACTAAAACAGTTATGATATCACCAGATGAAATACTCTCTGTGGTCCACCGTCACATCTGCAGGGCGACCCTGCCTGAAACAATGCCATGTAAATCGCATCCTGATGTGGAAATGCATAGAACGAAGCCTTCTGTACTCTGAAGTCAAGGATCCTCTGGGTATGTATTTCTCTCAAATAGTCAAAGGTTACTTCACCACGTCTGACAAACAGGAAAGAAATGCCTCCCTCATTTATTGGTAAAGGCCTGAAGGCTGTACTTGAAGTGGGGCCAATGCCGTGAGAGCTGAACTGGGGTTGATCAGGACTCCGAGAAAAGATGAACTGGGATTATTAAATTCAGTGTAGCCTGTAACAGATCTCTCCCTTTTGGATTAGAGTTATTAGCCCTGAATGTCACCTGCCTGGGAGAGGAAAACAAAACATGCTCTTTATGTAGAAAGTCAAAAGCATTTTAAACATACAGAACTTAACAATAATAAAAGTCCCTAGAGCTGAGACACCATCACCACTAAAAAAAAAAAAATGTCAAAAAGACAAAGATGCAAATACTTAATTTTAGGAAATAAGCATTTTATATTATTGTGATTGATATGATATGATCAAGAAAATTAACGGAAAGTTGGACAACTGGACACATATTTAAACAATTTCAGAAATGAGCCCATGAAGATGAATAAAAGATTTAAAACTAACAATATAGTCACTGAAATAAGCAACTTGACAGGCAGGACTAATAGTAGCACATTAGAATTAGAAATAAACAAAATTAAGTTTCAAAATAAATAGTCATAATAAGAACAATCAGAATGATAAATACAGACAAAGCATCCAGGACAAAGAATCTGCTGCAGTCAGATTGATTGACTATCTTAAATGGCATCATAGAACCTACATCCATCAACTGATAGAAGCAGGTACAGAGATCCACAGTGGAGCACGGGGCTGAGCTCCCAAAGTCCAGTCCAAGAGTGGGAGGAGCAAGAATATGAAAAAAGAGGTCAAGACCATGATGGGGTCACCTGAGCTAATGGGAGCCCACCACCTCTGGCCTAACAGTGAAGGAACCAGCTTAGGACCAAACTAGGCCCTCTGAATGTGGGTGTCAGTTATATGGCTGGGGAAAATTAGGGGGTACTGGCAGCGAGACCAGGATTTATCCCTACTGCTTGTACTGGCTTTTTAGAATCCATTCTCTTAGGAGGGATACCTTGCTCAGCCTAGATATAGTGGGCAGGGCCTTGGCCCTGCATCAAAGCAATATGCTGGACTTTGCTGACTCCCCATAGGAAGCCTTACCCTGAGGAGGAAGGGATGGGATGGGGAAGGAAGCAAGAGGAGTAAAGTAGTGGGAACTGGATTTGGCATGTAAAATGAGAAGAGAAAGCTTTTTAAAAAAATAAATTAAAAAATAAAATAAAATTAATCATAAAAATAAAAGAATTCAGATGGAGAGATGCCTCAGCCGTTAAGTGCACTGACTGCTCTTCCAGAGGACCTAGGTTTAGTTCTCGACATACACACAATGGTTCAGAAATATTGGAAACTCCAGTTCCAGGGCATCAGCACACAATGGTACACAGACATTCATGCAGGCAAAACATTCATATAAAAACATAATATATTAATATTGAAATTTAAAAAATTTTCAAGATACTTGTGAGGCAAACTCAAAAGATCTAAAAGTATAGCTCAACATTCAAACAGTAAAAATGTAGAAATACTTCTAAGGCATACTTGAATAGACAGTGGGTTCGGACTCCTAATATGTCCTGAATGAGCATGCTGAGTTGGTTTAACACCTATCCTCATACCTTTTAAAAAAATGGATAAGAAAATCTTAGGAATTCAGAATCAAAAAGCATTGTAAATTAAGTATCCCTAATCCAAATTCAATATGCTTCAATGTTCAAAGTATTTGAGTGTCAACAAAGACATCAAAAATGGAAAATTCCAGAGTGACCTCATAAAATGGATCAAATCAAAATAGGGGTCAAGATTTTAAAAGTACTTAAATTCTTTTATATAATAACCTTTAGGTGTTAGGTATATTAAGGTATATTTGGAAGACAAATGAAGTTTATGTCAAGTGTATCTCGTCCCCAAAATCCCTCCCTTCCCCTCTCTTCTCCTCTCCCATCTTCTCATTTTTCTCTCCTTTCTCCATATTAAATACATGTGCGTGTACCTTTATACATATGAATGTACATGGAATACTGTATCCAACACATGAATACCCAAAGTTCTTGTCCCCCTCAGTCCTT